AAAACCAGGCGTGGCGCACACCCTGTAATCCCAGCACTGGGGAGGTTGAAACAGGAGGATCACTATGAGTGTGATCTGTGTAGCAAGACCCTGTACCAAATAAATAAGCAAACAAAACCAAACAACACAACTGGGAATCCTGGTTCTGCGAAGTCAAGCCATTCCTAGGAAGGCCTAACTTGCTTTTTAGTTTGGGTTGACCCTAGTTTTAAGAAGCCTTCTTTCAAGAATGAGAGCTTCTTCCCCTGGGCTTAGAATTTATCCTAAGTATTTAACTTTCTATTGAGATAGCTGAGTCTTTAATAGGCACACCCTGTATCCAAAAGCCCTTACAGTGCTTAAAACTGTAATGTGCTCTTATCAGAGTCCAGTTTTGTAGAGGTACAAATAATAACCTATGCAAATTGGAGCAGGGCTCCATCATTTAAAGTGAGAGACCTTAAATCCTTTGCCAAAGCATTTTCAAGTGTAAGTGGGTGCTGTCTGTGCACCTCTGAGGCAGGACTGTTCCTGCCGTAGTACCTGAAGCAGGCCATTCAAAAGCAAACGGATACTATAAATCAGGATACAGTGCAATCCAGAAGAAGCCATCTTTAAGATTCAGAACAGTAAACCATGTAGATGCACTTGGTATTTTGGGTTAAAATAGTACATGGGCCAGTGAGCTAGCTCAGCGGACTAAGCATCTGCTTTGGCAAGTGCAAGGACCAGGGTTTGATCCCCAGTCCCACATGTGGTGCCGGCCCTGCCCCCATGGCTTGCTGAACTGGCGATTGAGTCCAAGCGTGGTGGCACATGCTTGTAATCCCAGTGCTGGGAAGACTGAAAATAGTAGGATCATTACAAGTCCAAGCTGTGTAGTGAGACCCTGTAGCAAATACATAAATGAAAGAAAAATAGTGTAGGAGTTAGGAAATAACTAACAGATTGTAGCAGAATTACAGCTTCATTAATAACCCATAAATCCTGGACTAGCCAGTACTCTAATTGGATTTTAGCACAAGGAGGGCGGGAGTGTTGCATAGAGATGGACAAATACAAGGCCAGGAGGGCAGTGTCTGGCCACGACAGGCCAAGGCCCCTGGCAGACCTCTGGCTGCATGGGATAGTGCTGTCTATGATGGTAGATCTGGAAAATAATTTCCAGGATGTGTCAGTAAGAAGCCCGGAAAATATTTAGTGGAAAAATGTACACATTAAGAGAGGAAGGAAGCTGCTCAAAGTGAGATAGGTTATGGCCTGCAGGCAGGTGCACTTGTGAGGTCTTGGGGTGTGCTTGAGGTGGGCGGTATAGGCGTGTGACAGACAGGCTGTCTGTCAAGTTCCTGAGGTGGACACGTGCCGACCTGTTTGCTGGAGAGTGAGGCCTCTGGGAGGAAGAACAATGTACAGGAGAGACACACGGCCCCGGACCTGATTTACAGGCCTTTTGTGTCTTTATTTTTATGTTTATTTTTTCTTTTTCTTTT